AACCAAACAGAAGGTAAATCCATCAGCCGTCTCGTTGCCCCTTCCGCCGTCAAATTTTCCACCGGCTGGTTGTTTTCGTGTCCCCTCGGAGTAGTCTCCAAACAAACAGGTATTTTAGGGGTTTTGACTCCATCCCGCCTTCCTTAACTTTCCAACTTCAACTTGCATTTGATTAAATTTTGATATTGACTGGGCATCTTAGTGCTGTACCTTCTATGCTAATACTAATTTTGACAGAATGCAAATTGCTATTTGGCTAACATAAGTGCTGTTGTTTTTTCTTAATGCAGTGAAAAATGGGTGACTTGAAGACATGGGTATCTGATAAATTGATGTCCCTGTTGGGGTATTCACAACCCACTATTGTTCAATTTGTGATCACGCTGTGTAAGTGGACATTGATGGTTTCTTTGCCTAATTCTAATATGTGTATTGGCTCTGGACTGATGATATGCTAAGATTCTTGATCTTATTAATTCAATGTTATTACTTTTTTGATATGAAAGTTTGACTACTGTTTGCTATACTAATGTAGCTAAGAAAGCTTCATCTCCGGATAAAATTGTAAAGCAACTGCAAGATTTGAATTTCTCAGCATCTAGTGAAACATATGAATTCGCCAAAGAATTTTTTGCTAGAGTGGAGCGGGAGTCTTCAGGATCAAGTGTGAGTTTCTGGCCTCAATGTATCAGATAAACTGAAATAGTTTGTTTCCAAACTTTGGATACTTCTAGTTAGCACTGATTTAATTTATATTTTGTCAGGTATATCAACAACAAGAAAGGGAAGCAGTTATGCTTGCACGTAAACAAAAAACCTACAAAATTTTGAAGGATGATGATGAGGGTGACGTGGTTTCTGTTGCCCAATTGCCTAAAAAGGAAGAAACTCGAAATAAGAAGTTCAGAAAAAGAAGACAAACTGACGATGGCATAGATGATGAGGTACTCATGCCTAAAATTTCTTTAGATCAAATACAGCATAAAATGTGGTAGTAAGGTGCTCTGTAATCTGATGGTGTAGGAAGTAAAAATTGGAGGTCAAGAAAGACGAGTACGAAGTCGGACTGCTCATGATGAAGATGATGGTTCTGAGGTACTAAAACATATTTATGAGCTTGTTTGTTGTTTTCATTTTCAGAAAGTACAGATATTTTGTTAGAGAGTGGAAATTGTATCTACATAGGAAGAATGAAAACCAAAACCCAAAAATTGAGTTACTCCGATATCAAGATGGCCTTATTATTATTATTTATCTTATTTTTTATTTTTTCATGATGTTGCCTGGTTTAGGTACGGACATTAAGTTCCGTTTCATTGGTTATAGTATCAACTGAAAATTAGACACACATGCAGAAATCCTTGTATAGTCGTATGTCTTGTTTACAGATTTTTGTTGAATATTCTTCTCTGCAATTGATATGTAAATAAAATGAGAAGACCTTTGCTATTAAACAAAGCTTTGTATCATCTACTTGCATAGAGTTGCCTAAGGAGTTGCTCAATGCTTTCCCTTTATTTACGTTATTCTCCTGCAACTCACAGTAAAGTCGTTTCATGGTATTGCAGGCAATATAGGTCTTCTTTATTTATTTATTTATTTTGTGATTATGCATTATCATATTTATAGGTCTCCAACTTTCTTTTTCCTGCCCAAATAACTTGCTTTTTTCCCATTATTTTCATCTATTCCCTTAAATTTACATGCATTTATATTTTAATGCCATATTGCAGTCTGAAGAAGACTGTGTGACCAGAGAGAAAAGGAAGAGTTGGAGTGTCATATTAAAGAACGTGATGCTGCAGCGACCAGAAAGGTTGACTTTTTATCCAATGTCTTGTTTGTTATATGCTGCTTTTCAGGCATCAAATTTACTTCTGTTTTTATGTGGTTATAATCTCATACCAAACAAAGGTGATTCAAACTTATGTGAATTTGTTGATTGAACAGTAAATATGAACTCAATTACTGAGTATCTGCTTAGGTGTAAATATTTCCAATATTTGGTTTATGTTATTTCTTTTCATATATATCAACCAAAGTAAGTCTATATTTTAAATGTTCTTTTTTTTCTTTTGCCCGCACATAAAAGGGAAAATTTCTTAGCTGCACACTTGGCTTTCTTTTGGTTTTAGATTTGAGGTCCTAGTTTTTGAATATCTACATTAAAAAGTGTAAATCTAGGAAATTTGAAATGTCTGAAGGCATACACACTTACTTGTGTTCAGTGCCTAGCAGCTTTAGGGATGCGTGGGTGACGCTTAAATAATTAGGCACTGCTTGTTGCTAATGTTGGAAATATTTTCATACATTTCTTCATAATTTTAATTCCCTCTGTTTTCTTTGAAGTATTCTCTAAGGCTCCTCTTAAAGTATATCTGCTAATAATTGTCTGCATAATTATAGGTATTGCCCATAATTGCTTTGTTGTTGTTTTTGTGGTGCTGTTAAACACGTTCTTTTGGTTTTATTTTAATCTGTTCAAGTCATTCCTCATTTGATTTTCTTTTGTGTGCAGATAACAGACCACCAGTTAACCAAAAGAGAAGAAGGTAAAATATCTAATACATATGATATATCCTATTCATTTTGTTCTAATTAAAACCTTTTCATACATATATATCTCTTTCATGATTAAGCCATCAGCATATTATCTAGATCTCATGTGTAAAGGTCTCTGAAATAAAGCATTCACTTTACTACAACAAAGCAAGCCAAATTTCCTAATTTTGCTTTAACTTTTAGATGTATGTCACTGTCAAAGTTCAGCTGATAAATCTTCTTCATTAGTATTACTTTCATTTTTTTGGTTGACTGTTGATAATTTTGCAATGTGCATTTTTATTTTGTGTTGTAGCAATGCCTGGGAAAGCTTGTGTAATTCTATGAAATGGCAGTTATGTGGAATTGGCTGTGGTGGTAGTTTTATAACTGATGTATATTATGACTTTGTGTTTACGTGTGTTGGGATCATGCTTGAGATCCGTAATATGGGAAGAAACCTTTTTTATCTTAGCATTTCCCTCTATTTCTTCTTATTATGCTCATTTGAAATTCATAACTGTTTATTGAAATGTCATATTGCATTAATGTATGAACTATTAACTCAACATCGGGGGAGCAAAGCAAACTCATTTTTTTTATTCCTTATGTTGAAGTTTGTTAAGTGTTTTATTTACTTTTAATTTCTCATGTAGTACAAAGAGTAACTATGCTTATTTCCCTGCATTTCTGCAGAAGAGGCAATTCGAAGATCTAATGCTTTGGAGGAGGATGAAGGGATTCGAAATTTAAGGTTTGTCACAATTATGTTATATTTGTATAATGATCCTGTGCTAGGCTAATAATAATCAATACTACTGTTTTCTGACCGAACTGATGCAGAGAAGAGTTGGTTGGTTGGATGTGTCTGAAAATAAATTCATAGATGTTCTATTTCAACAAGCAAATGATAAATTCCTAGATGTGCTTCTGAGAACATTCAGTGTTGGTTGGATGTGTCTGAAAATCATTATTGTATAAGAGTTGGTTTTCCAGATTGCAATTTGTAACCTGTTTGGGGTGGGGTGGGGGTGAACAAGCTTGTAATTTTCTTTAGTTGCTTAAAGTAATTTGTTCCATTCTACAGCTTCGTTCTCCTTCTAGGTAGTAGTTGTGTTACATTAATATCTTCTTTTATGTACCAGAAAAGTGTCAAGGCAAGAGTATCTGAAGAAAAGGGAGCAAAAAAAAGTAGATGAGCTAAGGTATGAATCCAAAGTCTCCGTTCAACTGATATTTGAATTATTTTAGTTTTCTTGACTGAATTTTAAGCATGCCTTGCCTTCCTTTTACCGGTAATCCAGAGATGATATTGAAGATGAGCAATACCTGTTTGATGGTGTCAAATTGACTGAAGCAGAATATCGTGAGCTAAGGTAAAAGTATTTTACATTGCATATTTATAATTAGAACTATTGGGATGCTGCATATGTTCCTGTCTGTTGTTAATTCTATGTCATGTACACATGGATTGTGCATGTTATTGATGCTACAAGTTAGACTACATGTTTTGACATCTTATGTTTTTGTGATTACTTTCCTATGATCAATTTTGTACAAAAGAAATATAAGGAACATAAAATTCAATATTCTCGTGTGATCGTTAACACTATCTCCTTTCATCATTATACTAGTGTTGATTCTTATATCTGGATAATATTATATCATATTGGATTTTATTTATGTTTGCATATGACCGTTCAACTTACCTAAATTTAGTTTCTTTGCAGATATTAAAAGCAAATTTATGAGCTTGTTAAAAAGAGGAATGAAGAGGCTGACGATGAAAATGAGGTGAGAAAAATTTTCATTATAAATTGTTTCTTGGTCTGGGCTTCTTTTTTACCATTCCAGTCACTGTTTTATATGCTGCATGTTTTCACTTGATGGAAAGAATTTATTTCCACTTTCCATGCATGTGTGCATATACTTTTTGAGATAGAATGCTTATAGGTATGCGTCCATGCTTGCGTGCTCCACAATCCACCTCTCAAATTTATAATTTTATATTTATCTTTGGAATGCCAAATTACTTTCCATTTTGTTTGTCTCTAGTTGAATTAATTGTATTGACTCCGTGAATATAAACCCTAAAAGGTAGACAAACGGAAATATTAATTGGCTATCTTGAGCACTGCCTGATTTTTTTCCCATTGATCAACAGTACAGGATGCCGGATGCATATGATCAGGATGGGGGTATCAATCAAGAAAAAAGATTTTCCGTGGCATTGCAGAGATATAGGTTTGTTTCAATGAATGCTGAGCTCAAAACTTGTGTAATTGAGATTGATTACACATTTAAATGTGCAGTTATATACCTTTTATGACTTGCTGAATTTCTGTTTGCCTGTTACAGGGATCCTACTGCAGAGGAAAAGATGAACCCATTTGCTGAACAAGAAGCATGGGAAGAACATCAGATTGGTAGTATTCTGTTGGCATTGCACTTAACTTTTGTATGACATAGCTATATCTTTAAGTACTAACCTTATGGTTATTTAATTTCAGGCAAAGCGACTCTTAAGTTTGGGTCTAAGAATAAAAAGCAGAAACAAGATGATTATGAGTGAGTTCTAAAGTTTTCATATGGGTTCCACTTTTTCTTATCACACCATCTTATCCTTAAAAAAAATAATAAAAAATAAAACAGAATTGTCAGAGCAACTGGCATCTTACACTTTGTGTATACATATTATTAAGGTGGTTTCATGTGAGATTAAAATGGAACTGATAAGCTTCATTGACGCTAACAGATTGTATTTTTATTTATTTATTTGACTTGCAGGTTCGTTTTTGAAGACCAAATAGAGTTCATAAAGGCAACAGTTATGGAAGGTGAAAATGTATGTACATTAACTCTGCAATTTACTATGAGAAATCTAAAACTGGATGGTCTGAATAGTCTGCATTAATGATTCACTTCTTCACAGGTTGAGCAGAAATCATTTGCTGTATCACCAGAAGCTTCTGCTGCAAAAACGGCATTTGAGAAACTTCAGGTCCAAACTTGCTCTTTTAATTCAGATTGCAAGAAAAAAAAGTGTTTATTGGCAAGGTTAACTTCTCAAATTTATTTTCAACCTTGCTAAACTACAATTTGTCGATAATGTTGGCTAACTAGGTTAGAATGGTTTGTTATTTTGATATCAATGAAACATTCCTGTCTGGATATGTTTTTTAGAGAACTGGTCAACTGAAATTGGATTCTATTGTGCAATGTGTTGGAGATTGGAATGAAATGATTTGCAAGTTAGGAACTGCCGCTATTTTCTTGTTTGTGTTTTCTTATTCTGTCATGCACTAACACAGTATCAGTGTTACAACTTTGTATACATACAAATCATTTTCTTTGTATAGAAAACTTGAAAAATTCAGTCTTGTTAATGTAAATATTTTAGTCGACCAAAATTTCTTATGGGAATGTCCAAATTGACAACTCTTGCTGAAAAACTGGGGCTAATAGAAGGAAGTATGAACCTCAATAAGAATTTCTGGTAGCATCATGGATGAAATCCTATTAAACACGTACTAGTAGTATCACTTTCTCTTCCTCATGCATTAACTTTTCTCTTGGCTCGTTCATTTTCAGAATGACAGGAAGACTCTGCCAGTATATCGTTATAGAGATGAGTTGCTAGAAGCTATTGATAATCATCAGGTATATATAAACTGCCTTGTGTCACGTGTTTGCTGTCTGTACACTGTCAGTTGATGCACTTATTAATTCAATGCTATATTGTTTTGCAGGTGCTCTGGAAAAACTACACAGATACCCCAGTATCTTCATGAGGCAGGGTACACCAAGAGAGGAAAGGTACTGTGTGTTTCCAATCTTAGTTTCTTATTGTATGCATTGAGGTTATCCATCAAGCTTTATACGATAACTGGTACTGTCCAATTTGCTTGAATTACCTAGCTGGACTATATTCCTATGAATTTCATTGTTGTATCGTATAAAACTTATGGAACGGCAGAGATTCTATGTTTTTACTTTTCATATCTATCAGATTGAGAAAGCTTTTCATATTTAGTAAGATTAGGCAAAATTTCTTATAATACACTTATAGTTTGGAAAATCTGCACTATATCATGATTTAGAAATTCCACGAGAGAGCCTTACGCAATTTCTACGACACAAGGGAGCCTTATGTACTTTCTAGGAGATTCTGCCTAATATTTTCTAAACACACATGCAGTAATTATGAAGCAGTATGGTGTAAAATTTTCAAATGAAAGTGGATTATAAGTAATTTTGCGCGTAAGATAATGGCAGTGTCATTATACTAGTTTAATTTTTGTTGGGTGATTTTCGTTGAAGTTATTTTCTCAATGTGTTTATCGGACTCTAGGAACTGGGGTGCTTCGTATATTAATTGACTTGGGAAACCCCAGCTTTAATTTTTAACACACTTCCAGTAGCAGGTATGAGTTTTACTTGGAATATGAATTTACTAAATGATGACCTTGCTGACAGATTGGATGCACCCAGCCTCGTCGTGTTGCAGCAATGAGTGTTGCGGCTCGAGTTGCTCAAGAAATGGGTGTAAAACTGGGGCATGAGGTATATTTTCTGCTTTTTTCATGCAAGTGTTTGGCAGCTCATGCTACTCCATTTGGCATTGGGAAAATGAACATTGTTTTATCTAGAGATGCCCATTAATTGCAACAGTAACATCATTCTGTTAGTGTAATAAATTAATATTCACACTGCATTTTGCGATATGTCATAGAATAAGTTAGACCTGCCCCATGATATTTTAAAGTTCCTAATTTCCTATAGTGTTTCTATTTCTTGGAAGTCTCTACTGACCATTGTAGTTTGTTCTTTTTAGGTTGGCTATTCTATTCGATTTGAAGACTGTACTTCAGAAAAGACAATCTTGAAATATATGACGGATGGAATGTTGCTGCGAGAGTTCCTTGGGGAGCCTGACCTTGCAAGTTACAGGTGGATTTCACATTTAAAATATCATGTGATAATTTTGTGGGCTAACTGTAATGTATTTACTATACATCTATTTCATTGTGGTGATCATTGATGAGGCCCATGAAAGAACACTGTCAACAGACATTTTATTTGGCTTGGTGAAGGTAAGATCTTGAATCTCTTAGTTGAATCTTCTCTGAGGTATGACAACTTCAAGATAATCATATTTGTTAGGTGTAAGGTAGAATAATGATGGCAGTAAGGGGTGAAAGACATCGAATTCATTAGAATCTCTCTCTCTCTCTCTATATATATATATATATCTATCTATATTTGGCAAACATTATGTGTAACCTGTTTCTTGTTCTACTCTACCCTTTTTGCGTGATAGGATATTGTAAGGTTCTGCCCGGACCTTAAATTGCTTATTTCAAGTGCCACCCTCGACTCCAATAAGTTCAGTGATATATATCTAGCCTTGCAGCTTGTTGTTCAGTTTAGTTATATTATTATATTAGATTTTCTTGTTTGGATTAATTGAATGATATATTGAATCCCATTAGCTTCGGTCTGCTTGTAATTGTGTTATTATAGATCAACTTGTTGTATGGAACTATGCACATTATTCAGACTTACTAATCTATGTGCTAGCTAATTACTTAGTTTGCACTAGTTGGTAGCTTGGTTAATTAGTTCTATTTATCTAACAGTTCAGCTCCGCACACTATGATTCCCTGCTTTGTGTGTGGAAAAATCCATGTCACTGAATAAAATATTCATGTAGGATTTAGCTCGCCAGAGAATAGAATGGAACTAACTATGATTGTAAGACTCTCATCTATTTTATCATCACAATAGCGCAAAAACACCTCACTCAAAACGACCATTTCTCTCGAGGTTCTCCATCTATAATGTATCAATAATTTTCAGAGCATATGAGTTTATGAATGCCGGGCAGCTAATCGCAGCCGCAACTCTCCGGTCACTCCAATCTTCCGTATACTACATAAGATAATCATTTTGCTCGTGTTGGTACCCATCACCCTTCCAATCTCAAAGCATTTACCCTCTTCGCGCAAGGTATGTCATTAATTATGTATATTTGTAGACATTGTTTTAGAAAACGAAAGCATCTTCCACAGTTTGATCACTTTCTTAGGTAGCCTTAGGCTTTACATATAGAGATTTATAGAAATAATATATTATACACCATTGGACTTGTTGTTTAATCAATGTTATGATTGTGAACATAGTATTGTGTAACTTCTACGATAACATAAGAGTCTAACTTCCAGGTTGATACGGATTTGAATGTTAACTTCTTACATTTCTCCAAACTTGGATGAGAACTCTAAGATGTTTACAAATAAAGAAAACTAATTGCATCAACCATGCCACGTAATGAATGATGTTTTGGTTTGTTCCCTATTCATCCTCTTGAATGCTCTAGTAAGATGGTTACACCACTCATAATTACCATTTTGGCATATTACATGCTCCTCTATCAAGATGGACATATTTGGATCTAAACATCATGGTACACTACATGAACCTCTACAGGTTTAATTTGTATACAATTTTTTGTTCAAGATTTCTATAAATCGTGTTAAAGTTAAACTATACCTGTATGGTGCTTCAACCATAGGGCATGCCATATATCATATAGATCTTTCATTCTTTTTGTTATTTTCTTGTGTTGCATCATATCGAAGTTTTAAATACTAAATATATTATAGAGTTATTTCAGATTGATTTGGATTGAATCAGTATGATGGACTTAAGGACATGCCAAATCTGAGAATTATCTGGTTAATTTAGGTGATGAATTATCAATGTTATGTATTGAATGAACTTAAATGTTGTTTTGGTTAATTTAGGTGATGGATTACAAATGTTATATTTTGGTTTTATATTTAAAAGATAGTTCAGATAAGAATTTTATAGAAATTTCTGTATAATAGTTTGTAGTTCTTTATATTATCTGTGTATTTTGGTTTCTTCAATGCGTTAAAGCAAATAGAAGATCTTCTCTTGAGCGATATATGCTTTGTATTTGTTATGTGGAAATTAAAATCTTATGTAAGTTCACATTTCATCGCAGCTTCTTTGCTGTTCTTGAGTGCTTTCCCGGAGATTGGAGCAACAAGTTTATTTTTCAACTGCAACAGTTTTGTCATCCTTGAGTGACTTCTGGGAAATTGCAAAACAACGACCATGTGTGTTCATTATACTACGTTAATACTTATGTGTATTTCTTTATCTTTTGAATGTTCAATATTCTGGATTTTGGATGTGTGGGTACTCATTTGATAAGGTTGTTAGGGGCAAAATATTACATTTATGTTTTTGGCGTGTCGGAAACGTTGTTAGATCAGTGTCATTTTGTATATTGTTTTTATAATTTTTATATTTAACATAAAAAGACAGGTATTATGCTATTTGTGATGAAATTAATTTTATAACAAAATCCTTATTTGACGCAGAAAAACCTTTTGTAGCAACATTTTGTTATGGGCATTGCTTGACACAAATGGTGTTTCACGATCACATGCCTTGTACTTAATTTTTTGTTACTGACAAATTTTGTAACAAATAATTTTCTAACAAAAAGTCTACTTTTGTACCGCCTTTTTTGTTTCAGATATATTTAGTAACAAAAAGTTTTCTGACAAGATTTCATTTTTGTTCCGAAATTTTTGATACGGACATATGTGTCACAAAAACATGATCGATCCTTTTGTTACATATGAAAAATGTAACGAATACAACTAACACATGCTTATTTACTGTGTTGACTACCACTTATTTATTACGGATTTTGTTGCAGCAATGACCTTTTGTACCGCGACTTTTCGTAGCAGTTCAAATCCGTAACAAAGTCGATACAAAAGGCTTTTTTGCACAAAAATTGGGCTTTGATTACGAATTTCAGACCGCTACAAAAAGTCAATTTTTTGGTAGTGAAACCATGTGTTCTTTTGGCTATAGGGAACTCGCTTCATAAATATCCATGCTCTAGGAAAATTAGATTGAAAAATATTTCCAATAAAAAACGGAACTATAAATTAAAATATATTTGCATTCGGTTAGAAATCAGATTTTAAAAATATAATTAATTATATTGAAGAGATAACAGTGGATGTACTAAACTTAAAAACTCACTCAAAATTATAGAAAATAATCCATGTTCTATTATCAACCATTCCACTTTCAGTATTTTGATTTTCTTCACGAAGATTACTAGTGTTTCCACCTCCTACCTAAACTAAAAACTAATCAGGAATTCCCCTATCATAAATCAATAACATTACAACATCTCTATACTAAGTCTCATAGTACATATAATACAACAATTATTGACAAGCTTCGGAAAATAGATTTTCCATTCATATAAAGAATTTGAGGAAAAGACTAAGCCTGATGGTAAAGATAACCAAAGACTAGGCATTTCAACTTAGTAGCCACAATCGTTGAGTTTTGGGTTCTGACCCTAATTTGATAAAACTGAAAACCCATTTAACCCAAAAGACAGTTTTAACATCTCATGCAAACATCTGGTCACTCCATGTGAACGAGGAAGAGCTCCTACACCCAAAAACCCAAAAAGATACAACGAACAAATTAAACACTAAAAGAACTAATAAAAATGCTACCCATCAACAAGTAAATGTAAATTTCTAAAAACTTAATATTTATTTAAACAAGAGCAGCCACTTCATCTCAACTAACAAGAAAAACCAAGAACCACAAGCACATTCACACGCACACGCAAGTCTACAACAAAAGCAAAAGAAAACTCACCAGGAAACAAAACCTTCAGACTCAAGTCAGCCCAAGAAATTCGAGCTCTTGCCCCAAAAAAAGAAAAAAAATGGAAACTAACACCTGAACACACCCACGATCATAAACAAACACCTTGAATAAAGAATTTGGACAAAACAAAATAAATCTCTGAGGCACAGCAAAACAAAAGTATATCACAAACAAATGCCGAAAAGATTGAGAGGAACCAAAACCAAAATGTAAATCCAAGAAGGAAGACCTAGAAACACAAATACCAGAAGGAAAACTAAAATAAATTCCAAATTCACAAATACAAACTCACAATCGATGGACGAAGTTGCTTGAATCGTCTGCAGACTGCGCGCTGCCGGACTTGAATCGACAAAGGAGCGGCTGTTAACGCGACTGTGAATGCGAAGTGTGAATTAGGGTTAAAATATTTTAGGCATCGCGCGTCAAGTGGCAGGAGGTGGGAGGAATTGGTTTGGCGAGAGGGCATTGAAATTGATTTTACTTGGAGGTATAAATTTAGACTTGCCCATTCGGTTTCGAACTGCCGGTTCGCCGGTTTTTGAACCACCAACGGCGGTTCGACCTTTTGATTTTGATCTTTTATTTTTTTAATCTGGCTGTCGCCGGGCTGCACAGGCCCAGAGCATAACAAGGTAGGAGAAAAGAATAAGGAGGAAAGAAGAAGCCGGAGGATAAAAGCAATTGGGAGCTGGTGCGGGCTGCAGCGGCCTTGGATGTGAAAGTAATTAATAATAATAATAATAATAATAATAATAATAATAATAATAATAATAATAATATATTTCTAATTAATATTTTTATATATTGTTAAAATTTATTAAAATAATAATAATAATAATAATAATAATAATAAAATTATTAATTATTAATGATATATTCTAAAATAATAGTAATATTGTAATAGTATTATTTTTTATTTATATTTTAAATTGTAATTTTTATTATATAATTATATTTAATTTAAATTATCTTATTATCTAAATTAATATTTCTATAATTTATTTTTATTTATTTTTTAGTTTAAAATTTTATTTAATTACTTACTAAATTTATTATTTTAATTATTTTTATATTGTAACAATCTAATTAATTACTTATTTATATAAATTTTATATAATAAATAAATAATAAAAATATCTAAATAAAATTGAAATTGAAATTAATTATTTTTAAAACTTTATAAATTAATCATCTGAGTGATATTCATCGTTAACATCATCATTTACAAAAACTGTCTGACTATTAACTCGTCGGAATCGCTCATTCGTATCCGTCCAGACTAGCATTCCTCCGACTTGGTCAGACAGGAAAATAGATTCATCCCATTGTATTTCAACAATATTTTGTGGTCGAGTACGCAAAACTGCTTGCCAACGAGACCACTCACTAATTGCATTCAGGTAATTCACACAAAACACTTGTCTAGCTTGTTGTGCAAGTATGTAGTACTCCTTTGTCCTTAGAACATGCCTAAAATTAATGACAAGCAATTTTTAAAGTTGTTTAATCACAGGGAATTTGTATCGGAATTAGAGTGAAGTGAATTGTAGACCCTGAATCATTATCACAATTGTTTATACTATTTAGCTGGTGAGTTCCCAGGTCAAATACAGGGATTTTAATTCACGAAATTTAATCAAAAATTAGCTAGTGAAAAGCGGCAAGAAAAGCATAAAGGGGGCTTGCTCATGAGCAACCTCAAACACTAAGCTAGATACAAATAGAATTTAAAGAAGGCAGTAAAGATGCGGAGGGGTGAGCGAAGCGAAACGGGTGAGTGATGAGGGTTGTGATAGTGGTTGGTGAGCGGAGGTAAGCGAGGGAGGTGAGCGGTATACATATATCTCTATTGAGCGATGGAGAGCAACTAGGAGATGTTGTGTATAATCTGTGTGTTTCTTAATGGCTAGATTGTCATGGATGAACTGTGCGAATGATGATGGCGCATAAGCGGAGTTTATATGTATAGCGTGGAAGTGATAGGGGGTGTGAATGTAATCATATAAGAAGAGTTATACATAACTTAAACCACTAATACTTGACCTTTAGGGATTTACAACAAAACTTCAATGACGCCCATAATTAAAACATTATAAGCAAGAAATACTACTGTCAATAGACATTTCTGTGACCAAATAGACAAGCGCCTATACCTCTTTAATTATTCTAGTTTATGTCTCATTAATGACTTTACCCTTCTGTTACCTCTCTTTAATCAAAATCGAATTTAGAGCAGTAATTAAGCAGGTTGACAAGGCTCTCGCGTACTTAATTACATTGAACTACCCACGATCTGTTAATGAATACGATGCGAAACTGGGCTTAGATAATTGATTATTCTCTGTTCTTTCTCAGCGACTCAAGATTCTATATTAATCGAACTTGTACAAATATGGAAATGGGGAAGAAGTGATAATGAAGAAAAATTGATATTTCATTACTTACTAAAGAAAACAGTAAAAAATCTACATAATGCAAACGATGTAAACTAAAACTGTAAATTTAAGCTAAGAAGCAGTAAGTGAGCGCCAGAGGAGAAGAGAATCTCAACTCCTCTGGCCAATTCTGCTGAAAACTCTTTTATAGGATTGGAGCTCTCGGGAGGTAGGAAAGCAGCAGAGAAATTAAAAGTTCAAGTGTATACTCCTATCGATGTATATTTTTACAAGAGATATTTGTCCCTATTTATAGTTGGATGAGACAGCAGTTGCGAGCAGTTGGCGAGTTGTTTCAACCACTCAACAGTTAGGCAGTTGGCAGCGGTTATTCTGTTGGAGCAGTTGCACTGGCTATAACTACTAGGGCGCTTGCTTCGCTTGCTTTGGCATGTAGGGGCGCAGATCTTCCTCGCTTGCCCAGATGGCTGGAGGGCATCAGCGCAGCTAAGCGAAGCTATCCTTGTTGGCTGGTAACGAAATGGCTTTACCTCTGCGAGTTGGACACTTAGGCATTTTCCTGGGGTGATTCATTCTTGCTTCGCTACGGTGGACGTCTGGTCGCTTGCGCTGGCTCGAGCGAGGAGGGCTTCGCTTGTTGAGCGGACAGTACCGTCGCTTGATGAGTGGCCAGAGCCGTTGTTTAACTTCCATGACTTAGCTTTTCTGGACCAGAATCATCGCTTAAAAAGGCCAAAAATGTTATAATCTTGACAAACCAATTCTGGATCATGCCAAGCAGAATATATCAATAAAGTATGTCATAAATCAGATATTGTGACTTTTTTCACCCCGAAATTCAAGTAATACATCGTTTTGTTAAGTAAATAATATGCTAATATTTAGAGTTATCAATTAACATCAACTATATTGTACGTCTGATGTCTTATTGTCCCACGAGTCGGATCTGTCCAACGACAAAGAAACAATAAGTTTCATGTGATGATAGAGATCACATGTAAACACTTTTTTTTCTTATCAATTATTCCATAGTATTTGATAACTCTTGATTTTGTCATATTTTATAACTTATATTTATTTAGTTATATATTTATTTATGTCGAATTTTGGTATTATTTATGTTAATTTATTCTAATAATTGTATTCATTTTATCTTGTTTGTATAATATTAATTTACTAGTTTTTAGGTGTAATTTATAATTATTTTGGTGTATAAATTTAATTAATTGATGTGTTTCTTGAATGATATTTTTAGTCATTATTTATGTGCTATTTAAGTATTTAATTTTGGTTAAATTAATTTTATTTATTATTTATTTAAATAAATATTATACGGTGTTTATTATTTATACAGGTGAAATAATGCTTGAAAACTGGTTTGGGAGTTCAAAACTAGCTTTAAAAAATGAAAAAAATGCTTCAGGAGCGGAAAAACTGTCACCGGCGCGAAAGTCAACAAAAGTCAACGGTCAATGCAGAAAAGTCAATGCGCGAAAGTCAAAGTCAACTGCTGCGCGGAATTCAAGCGGCGGCCGTGTAGAAAGCAAGCAAGCACGGAATCTAAACGGCGGCTGGCGCGGAAAGTGAGAGGCGGCTACACAAAGTGAGCGAGCGCGGAATCTGAGCGGCTGCTGGTGCGGAAAGAGAGCGGCGGCTGCACAAAAGTGAGCGAGCGCGGAAAGCGATGGAGATACACGGAAAGCGATAATGGCCGTGCGGAAAGCGATGACAGCCGAGCAGAAAGCGATGCCGGGCGCACGGAAAGCGAGCGACGGCTGTGCAGAATCCGTGAGCAGCGACTGCATTAATTTTTGCTGCATTTATTGCCGCTAGGTCAGCGGCTGCATTTAATGCCCAGGCTCCCTCCGCTATGCATTTATTGCACAATCCCAGTTCTGCATTTATTTATGCATTCTCACAGCTCTCATATTTAATTCCTGCATATCACTTAGCCAATTTTTGACTATTTTTGTGTAATATTTATTCTAGAACCTTCTAGAAAATAGGTAGTTTTTAGTAAGTTACTAGTAGCTATATTTGTGGCTATTTTTAAAGGTAGTTATTTATGGTTATTTTTAGAGGTAGTTAGTAGTTATTTATGGACGGTTGTAATCGCAAAGCTTCTAGAAGCTTTTCCCCTCGTAAATATCCCCTCTAATTGTATATTATATACAAACTATATATACACCATATATACACAATAATATACATTTCATACACTCAATTTTTTCCATTTCTTTTCTCCCATATTTTTATCTAGTTTAATAATACGAGATTTTCGGTTTTGTGTCGCGAGCAAGATTTTCTCCTCATTTTCTTTTAATTTCAACATATTATTTTAGCTAGTAAAATTTATATCACACTTCTCCACCTCACCTTCACCCAAAAAATTCCATGTTCGATTTGAATTGTTCAAGTTAAATTTCAGCAAGGTTGCGAAAGGACGATAGAAGAATCAACTATTTCAGCCATGTTTCGTGTCACAAACAGATTCCGGGTAGTTCAACGTAGCTAAGTACGCGGGAGCCTTGTCGACCTGCTTAGTTGCTATTCGGAATTCGATTCTGATTAAAGAGAGGTATTAGAGGGGGCATAGGCGGTGGACTATTGGGTCACAAAAATTTCTAGTGACAGTAGAGTTTCTTGCTTATAATGTTTTTCGAGCGTGTCGCTGAAGTCTCGTTGTAAATCCCCTAAGATCAAGTACCAACCGAGTCGAGAATCGACTTAAGCGAGCAAATGCGATCATGCTCATTTCTTCGAGCCGCCCCGCAGTTATACATATATTTTTCGCTATCACGCCATCGTCATCCCGCTCATTTCATTCATGGAAATCTAGCCATTAAGCAACGCAAAAGTCAAACACAAACGCCCCGCTTCATCCTTTTCGAGATACATATATTTTATCATTTTTTAGTTAGATTTAATTTCTGCAATTTATCTTTTCAATTTCTTTGATTGCATTAACTCATTGCACTTTTTTTTTTCTAATTAAATATAGGATATTCGCATATTTCTTGAGTTCGACCCGGACACTCACCGGTTAAAGAGATTTTTTATTTTTGACGAAATTTTTGGAGTTACTATACGAGCACGCACGACACTATTTTCATTTTATACATATATCATTTTTTTTTATCTTAAAAGATATTTTTAAATCTCTCCAAAATTATTCGATCAATTTTGGCGCTGTTGCCGCAGAATAAGTCTAGTATATTTGTTTTAATTGGAAAATATTGAGTTTAATGCTAATTTAATTTTAATAGTGAATTTTATTTTATTTTGAACAT